TCCTGCTCTGTTTTAGGTTTGTATGTTTTGAAATCTTTTACAACTCTGACATTCTATGTTCTAAGTTTTCTCTAGCTCTGACATTCTGTTTTAGGTTGGATGTTCTAAGATTCCTTGAAACTCTGATATTTTATATTGCGTTCTAAGCATTCTCCCAGCTCTGACATTCCATGTCCTAGGTTGAATATTTGAACATTCTAAGATTCTTTCCACATCTAACATTCTACATTTCTTTTTTGTTTTATGATCTCTTCTACAACTGACATTTGATATTCTGAGGTTCTATTTGGCACTGGTATTCTCTGTTCTAGTTTGCATGTGCTAAGGTCCCTTTTAGATCTAACATTCTATAATCCTAAGATTTATTCTACTTTAGATGTAGGTGGAGACCCTAATGACACTGGTAGTATTATGTAGGTGAGTCAGGTTGGGTCTTCTCAATATTGTGATTTTCCCTATTGCCCTTGTTTTAAAGGTTTTGATCCCATTCCATGTATCCCAGATGGAGAAATCAGAATTTTGTCAAAGCACCCAATGGTTCAAGACAGTTGGCTAAAATTCAAGGATAGGAGATGTTTTCGGGTGAACTCAGAAGTCTGAGAGACGACTCAGACATTTACAATGTTCTTCCAAATTGAATTTTTTATGGTTCAGAGGCTAACCTCTGTTGGTTCCACACCAAGAAAGCAGCTGTTGTGTCTGGGGATTGGGTGGGGGGACCTGAAGAGAAGGGTGGCTGCTCTGACCACTCATCGCTTCTGGGAATCAGTTCTGTGCAGGAGGCAGCTGTCCTCTTCCAAACTGTTGCTGGGTGGAGTGGCCTGGAGTCTAGGAAGGCAGCCCCTCTCAGCAAACTCAGTGGGAAAACCAGAAAGAGATTTCCAATGAGATTGAAATCTAGCCATCATGACTTCTGCAGACCCAAATCTAGGCATCTCATCCACCCACACATGAGGCTTAGAAATGTATTATGCCTAAGGCTTCCAGACCCCAGGAAGTCAGTTGGGATTTGGACACCCTGAACTGGAAGGGGTCCCAGAGGCCTTTTAATCCAGCTGCATCATGAAATAATCTTCCTCCAAGATTCCCAACAAGACTGGGGAAGAGGCATAGAAAGAACACTGGGTTTGGAGTCAAAGGGAATTCTAGCCTGGAATCCTCTGTTAATAATCAGCTCTGTGAACTCGGGCTGGTGGGAGCATCTGTTTCCTCCCCTGTAAAATGAGAGGGCTGGGTTAAATGGACTCCAAGGGCCCTTATAACTCCAATATCCTGTGATCCCAAGTTCTTTTCATTCTCTGGGCCTCAGCTTTCTCATCTGTGAAATGGGAGGAGTGTTAGATGAACTCCAGAGTCCCTTCCAGCTCTGACATCCTATGATCCTAAATCTGTTGCCCTAAGTGAACCTCAGTTTTCTCATCTGTGAAAAGAACAAGTTGAACTAGCTTATCCCCAAGTTCCCTTTCACTCTTAGCACACTGGTGTTGTGGTAAAGCCATCTTCACTTCCTGAAGATGTCATGAGTAGTGAAGGTCAGGTTGTTCAGGACCTGAGTTGCCTGGCACGGAAGTTATAGAGCTGTTGATTTTTGAGCTGCAAGGGGTCTTAGTGATTAGCTCATGGGCTCTGCTCCCAGGTTCCTTATCCCATTTCAAGGCCCTGCTAGTCAGTCAGCCAGTCACCTTGGATTCCTCAACTCCAGGCTTGCTGATGTTTGTTTTGGCCTTTCAGCAAGAAAAAAAGAACTCTCTCTCTCTCTCTCTCTCTCTCTCTCTCTCTCTCTCTCTCTCTCTCTCTCTCTCTCTCTCTCTCTCTCTCTCCTCTCTCTCTCTCTCTCTCTCTCTCTCTCTCTCTCTCTCTCTCTCTCTCTCTCTCTCTCTCTTTCTCTCTCTGTGTGGCACACAGATGAATGGATAAGGGGAATGATGGAGTGGGGAGAGGGCTGATAACAGACACTGCAGAAGAGAGAGAGAAAGAGAGGAAGAAGATATGGGCCAGCAGAGAGTCAGATAAGGACATTAAAAAGATGAAAGAGAGAAGCCTGCTAATAGGAGGCAAGAGAGGACTCTGATAAGAGGGAGTGGGTGGCCATGGAGGATAAGGGGGCCATTAAAGTAGAGACATAGACAGATAAGAAAAGTGATTGGGATTGAAGAGAGGTACAAGCTACCAAGGTTTCTTCTTGCAGCCATCTAGTGGTGATTACTGAATTTTGAGCCAGGCTACAACATCACTTTGAAGGAGGCATAATAGATTTTAAGCTTTTGGAGGGCAGAGACCATATTTCATTCATATTAGCATCCTCTACAGTGCCTAAGATGGAGCCCTGAATATCATATGAGCCCAGCAGTTGTCTCTTGAATTAACTTGCCTCTCTGTAAACCCAGGACCCTGTTCCAAGTTCAGGGTCCTTCCTTCCTTTTTATACCCATTAGGAACCCTACTAAAAAGTAACAAGCAAACAGACACCCCTTTTTTTGGTGAAGGTGCCCAATGAGGCAGGAAACACATAATACCTCCCAAAGGTGGCTATTCCACATTGTCATAGCTCTAATTGTGAGGAAGGATTTTTTTTAAATGCTTTGTCTCTTTGCAGTCCTACCTTTTGCTCCTAACTCTGCCTCTTGAGGTCAATCAGGACAGGTCAAATTCCTCTTTCATGTGACAGCCTTCCAAACACATGAAGACAATGATGATCTCGTGCTAAGTCTTCTGCTCTTCAGGTTACACATCTTCAGCTCATCCTCAAGTGACACCATGGTACTGTGGAATGTGTGCTGGATTGGAAGTTGGAGTGTATGGATTTAAATATCTGCCCTACTATTCTCTCCTCATGTGTCCTTGGACAAGTTACTTCCCACCTTGGCCTTCAGCTTGGGGATCGGACTAGAAGACCATGGACTCTTCGCCATCCTGTTTACCACCCCTTCTCAGTACTCTCTGGATTATCCCCCATGTCTTGAGTTAATTCTCCCCTTCCTATTCATTTCTGTCTGTTGAAGTCTGTCCCTTCCTTTGAGTTCCAACTCACGGACTATCTCTTCCACGAATCTTTCCCCATTCCTTTCTTTTCCCCAGTTGCATGCTCAGAGGTCCATAGATTTAGAGTTCAGACTTCTTAGAGGCCATCTAGTTCAAATCCATTACGAGCCCAGAGAAGCCAACTGATTTACCAGAGTCTCACAGGCAGAAAGTGGCAGAGGCAAGATTTGAAGTAAGCCCTCTCATTTCAGGTCCAGTGATCTTCCTGTTCTACTGTCGTATGTTTCTAATTTTATTTTGCTCAGCTCTAACCTCAGCAAATATCTCACTCTTTCTTGTATCCTAATGGTTTGTGCACTTATTCTTCCTCTCATGAGATTGTCTAGCCTTTAATTACTGAGTAGGTGTGGATTCAGACAAATTGAGACCTGGGAAAGACCTTAGTTCAAAAGGTCTTCCACTACGTGCAGGATCATCACCAGTCATCCTGACCTGTGTCTTATCACTGGACTGTGATGGCTCTAGAGGAGAGAAAGAGGTTGATGACTTTGCATAGCTTATCCTCACTTATATCCAATTCACTTGCAAGTCAAGACATCACCCTCCTAATGTCATTGGTTCTCTTTGAGAACAAAGGATGAACAACATTAGATTGTGAGCTCCTTGTGGGCAGGGTCTGTGTGGTATCTTTTTTTTTTATCTCTGGTATCCGTCACAGTGCTCTGCATATAGTAGATGCTTATGAAGTGTCTACAAATCCTCTCTTGCACATACCCTTCAAAGATTTGTGGAAATAATTGCAAATTTTAATGCAGCCTTTAATATTTGCAGAATGCTGAACATAAATTATTTCATTTTGATAACTGCAACCTCTTAGAAGAAATTGGCTTGGGCAGCTAGATAGAGCACTGGCGCTGGATTCAGGAGGACCTGAGTTCAAATCCAGCCTCAGACACATAACACTTACTAGCTGTGTGACCCTGGGCAAGTCACTTAACCCCATTGCCTAGCCAAAGGGAAAAAAAAAGAAAAAAGAAAGAAGATATTGGCTTAACTATTTACTCAGAAGAAACCAAATGGATGAAAAATGTCTATTGTTCAGATTATGACATGTAGTTAGTTGGACCTCTTTTAGAGACTGTTTCTCTCTTGGACAAACAGTCCAAGTGGATCATGAGTTGAGCCTAGATTTAAACAGGAAAAAAAAGTTTGAATTGCCTTTAGGACAATGAAAAGCTCCTTCAGTGACTTGAAACCTCTCCTTGAAACCAAAACACATTTTTCTAATACTAGTACTTTACTGGTGTAACTGTATGGCTTTAAGGCATGGGACACTACAGTCTCTGATGAATTTGAAAATGAATATCACAAAGAAAACAAGGGAGAGGCACATGACATGTATGAATGGGTTGCCACATTTAGCAAAGAAGGAACTTGAAAGGAGAACCCAAGCAAAAAATGTTAGTTGTAAGATGCATAGTCAAAAAAGTAGGTTGCTTGGTCATTTAAAATAAGTGTGAGGGGTGACAAGTGGACAGCTCCAGCCCTACACTGATATCCTGGGGATGTCAAGAGAAATCAAGAAAGACCTCTAGTATGTTGGGTGGATCTCTGTGGCTGATTTACAGGAGGATATGGATAAGTCACAAAGGATGGGATGGTTTGGGTGGGTAGCAATATGTATCAATGGAGGGAATAACCACATTGACAAATTTGCCAATCCATTGGAGTATTGGAGGATCTCCTTTAAAAGCAGCCCTTCCTTACCAAATGACTGGGGGATCCCTGGGTGACAAGAAGCCTCTAAGTAATGCAGTGTGTGTGTGTGTGCGGGGGGTATGTGGTGTGGTATATATGTGTTTTTGTGGGAATGACAGAGAGTTGGAGAGATACAGAAACAGAGACAGAGGCAGAGACAGATAGAAAGACACATACAGAGAGAGGCAGAGACAGACAGAGATAGAGACAGAAAGACAGGGACAGAGAGACAAAAAGAGAGGCAAAGACAGACACAGAGGCATAGACAGAAAGTCTGAGAAACAGATAGATAAAGAGACAGGGACAGAGATAGAAACAAAGAATGTCAGAGAAAAACTGAAGACAGAGACACGGAAAGAGTCATAGGACACTGGGTAAGTATCTCTGCCTTTCTCCCTGGCTTGGAGCTCATCCTGAGACTGGCCCCGTCAATGAGGTGCTGTAAAAGCTGACAAGTTATGCAGTCAGTAGTAACTTCTGGCCTTAGAGTCCTGGGGAAATCCAGTTATCCTGGAAAATTCCCCTGGAACAGTAGCCCAACTATTTTGATTTTCTGTACTTTTAAGGTAATTGCCCCATTGCCAGAGAGACTTTTGAATGAAAAAAAGAAATACAGTGTGGGACCACACTGCCCCCTTGTGGTATGCCTATGTGTAACATCCAGCTGGGAACTGCCTTGCAAGGCTGAAGGATTTTGTAGAAGTACCTTAGACAAATATAGTGTGTTAGAGCTGGGAGGGACCTTAGAACAGAAAATAGCAGAGCTGGGAGGATCTTAGAATACAGAATGCCATAGCTAAGAGTGATCTTAGAACATGGAAAGTCAGAACTGGAAGGAAACAGGAAGATTATATCATCTAAATCTCTGGTTTTATAAAATAACTGAGACCCAGCAAAGTCAAGGGACTTGTCCAAGATTGGTCAATGAGTTAGGGGAACAGCTAGAATGAGAGTTCTAGATGGGATACCCTAGGGGCACCCCTAGGACCAGAGAATCCCATTGTATTGTGGATTGAACTCTAGGGTGCTCTGGAGTTAGGGGTGGAGAAGATTATGTTCTATTAGAACCTTGAGAGACTGGATATTTGCATCTTTGGCATCAGGAATGGCCACTGTTTCTTGGACAAGAATTTCAGAAGCCACAGCTGACCTCACCATTCTATGAATCTGATGACTGAGCTGAGTAGAGGATCAAAGAGGGAAATGTTGAAAGAGGCTTTTGTGTTTTTTGGAGACAGAGAGTGGGAACAGCAGACCTTGGTGATGAAACCCAAGGCACGCTAAAAATACCAAAAGCTTTTATGCCCCCAGCCAGCCCGTGTCCTCCTCATTGCTTTACATACATATATTAAGCACCTACTACATGCCAGGCACTGTGCTAACCTCTCAGGATACAAAGAAAGACAAAAGATAGTCCTTGTGCTTGAGGAACTCACAGACTAATGGTAAAGACCACATACAAACAACTATGGGCAAACAAGCGATACATTAGATCAATTTTATAAAGATAAATTAGAGGTAACCAATAGAATTACTATGGGCCAGTGTTGGTGGTATGTCTGCCCTGCCCTGCCTGTGTTAAAAAAGAGTATGAAAGTTGTATAAAAAGTATAAAATTGTATAAAGAGTATTATCTAGATGAAAGGCCCTTCCCTCGGAAGGCCTGCTTCTCCCTGAGCTAAGATCCTGACAAATCACATAACCTTCCTGAGCACCAGGGTCTTCATCTAGAAAACAGAGATAATAATATATAGATGAGAAAAGTGAGTCATTATTTTCTATGCACAGTCAGGTTGATCAATTCTTTCTCTTCAGTTTGCCTTGGGGAGTTATTCAGTTCAATCCATAATACATCAACTAAGTGCCTGTATACTGAGTCAGAATTTAGACGAGACTCATTTCTAGCCCATTCCCAGAGAGCTTATGGTCTAATGAGTGGTTAAGACAATAATGCATATGGCTACACTGTATGATTAGTGCCTTAGAAAGAAACCAGGGAAAGTGCTACTAGTATGAGAAGAGACTGTGTCTAGTTTTGATTTTGTTTCCCCCCCAGCCATCCAGCTCATTGTCCTGCAGATGAGAGTGCACAGTCTTCTTTCTGCTTTTCTTCCTTCCTTCTTTCCTTCTTCCTCCCCTTTCCTTTTTTCTTTGCTTTTCCCCTTTCCTTCTCTCTTTTTCTCTCTTCTCCCTTCCTCTTCCCTCCCTCTTTCCCTCCCTCCCTCCCTCCTTCCTTCCTTCCTTCCTTCCTTCCTTCCTTCCTTCCTTCCTTCCTTCCTTCCTTCCAGCTTGGGAAGAGTGGTAAGGTTTTAAGAAGCCCTAATACCTGGAAACTTCCTGTCTCTTTCCTCTCACTTGTGGTGGCCTCAGGTGAAAAAAGAAAGGGGCTGGAATCCAGAGAGGGCAGGGGTGTGGTCTGAGAGTTGGAAGCTATATCCAAAGAAGGAAAGGCACAGAATCAGAAGCACAAAGACCATGGATTATTATGAGTTCTGGCCTTCAGCTGGGTCCAGAAAGGAACCCAGAGAACGCTGAGATCATGAGAAAGAGCAGGAGGTCTAGTTTGGGATACTGGCCTTGGTAACATCAGGAACAGGAGCAGCTATTTGGAAGAAAAGGAAGAGGAGCTGACAAAGCTCGATAGGAGTTGGGGAAGAGAGAAAGAGCCCAGGCTGGGAGGTGCTGACTAGGGAAGGTGGGATGAAGCCAAAGGCTAAATAAAGGGCTTTTAGCTTGACAAGACTGAGATGCATTTAGCCTCACTTTCATTTGGAAATTGATCACATTCAATTTCTCTTTCAAGGATTGGATTAGACAAAGCACTTATTAAATGCTTGCTATTTGCCAGACACAAGATGACGTGAAGTCCTGAGACCAGAAGGAGGAAGAGTCAAAGTTTTAAGGAAGGAGCCCCTAGAGACCTTGTTTCTAGTTGTAGGTGTGCAATTAACTCTCTGTGTTGTCTTGGAGAAAGACATTTTCTCTCAGTTTCTTTTCTTTTCTTTTTTTTTTTTGTAATATGAGGTGGTTAGAATACACAATCATAAACTTTTCAAAATAAGTCCTTATTAAATGTTTTCTATTTGCAAAGCTTTATGCTGGGCACCAGGGACATAAGAATAGAATGCAATGGTCTGCTGGCAAATAATTTACAATCTAATTAGAGAAGTGTGTAAAAAACTAGGCTCCCAGGAAGTTGAAGAAAAGACTTGGTGTGGTACCATTTAAAGGATACCGGTTTTGCAGTCGGAAGACTTGGGATGCAAATTCCATCTCTGATACTCACTACCAAGATAGTAGAGTGAATACAACTCTGTATTTGGAGTCAAGAAGACCTGAGTTCAAATCCTGTCTCAGATACCTACTAGTTATGTAAGAAAGTCATTCACTCTTCCTCAGCCTCAGTTTCCTTACCTATAAAATAGGGATATTAATAACACTGACCTCACAGGGTTGTTATGAAACTAAGATGAGACAATATGTGTAAAGTATTTTGCAGATCTTAAAGTGCTATGCAAATACTCAGGGCTTCGTGCAGTGCCTGGTAAATAGCAGAGGGTAGGGCACTGGACCTGGGGTCAGGAAATTATTGTTTTTGTTGAGTCATTTCAGTTGTGTCTGACTCTTTGTGACCCATTTTTTTTTTGGCACAGATTAGTATCTTTGGTATGCTATTTCCTTCTCCAGCTCATTTGACATGTGAAGAAACTGAGGCTAACATGGTTAAGTGACTTGTTCAGGGTCACATAGTTAGGAAATGTCTGAGGCTAGATTTGAATTTGGGAAGAGGCGTCTTCCTGACTCCAGGTCTGGTGTTCTATCCACTGTCCCACCTAACTCCAACCTCAGATGCTGACTAACTCTGTGACACTGGCAAGTCATTTAACTATGTTAGCCTCAGTTTCTTTTTTTTTTTTTTTTGGCTAGGCAACCGGGTTAAGTGACTTGCCCACGGTCACGCAGCTAGTAAGTGTTATGTGTCTGAGGCTGGATTTGAACTCAGGGCCAGTGCCCTAGCCACTGCACCACCTAGCTGCCCCCTCTGTTTCTTCAACTATAAAATGAGGATAATAACAGCATTTACCTCACAGAGTTGCTGTGAGGATAAGAAGAGATAATATTCACAAAACACTTTGCAAACATTAAAGCACTATAAAAATATTGCTGCTGCTGCTGCTGCTGTTGTTATTTTGACTGGCTGCCTGATTTTACCTTGGACTCAGTTTCCTCCTCTGTAAAATGAGGGTATTGAACTAGATGGAGACTGAGGTCCTTTCTTGCCATGGTGCTATGATCCTAAATTCAAAGGAGAGGTCCAGCCAAGGGCTAGGGGATTAAGGAAAGTTCCTTTCATTCTTAAAGGAAGATTAGGAGCACAGCGGGGGGCATTCTATTACAGCGTCAGGAGAAACTCCCTCCTACTTGCATGGATTGTGCAGGGCTCAGCAGAGGAAAGAAGATGCAGAGTGAAAACAAAGCAGGGAAAGGAAAGCCAGGCAGGGATCAGCAGATAAGGCTGGGTGAGCAGACAAAGGAGCTAAATTTAATAGAGGCTGGAAGAAGAGACTCGGCAGGGACAGGAGCAGGGTCTATAAATATCAGGAAGGCAACAGCCTTGGCAAACAAAGGGAGAATTATTCACTGTCTCCCAAGATGTAGGGCAAAGCCATTGGCCTCTGCCAAATGTTTCCTATCAGTAGAATGTAAGCTATTTAAAGGTGGGGATGGTTTTTATTTGTATCCCTGTGCCTAGCACAGTGCCTGACATATATTAGGTATGGTAGTACCTTGCTAAATGGTGGTGAGGTGGCGCAGCGAATAGAGTGCCGGGCCTGAACAGAGAGCCATTGGGTGGCGACATTCAAGGTCCCTGGAAACGTCCTTGGCCACTACAGGGAGTGGGCAATGGGGAGGCCCCATGGTGTGGTGGGAAGAGCACTGAAACTGAGGCCCCAGGTTAAAATCCCTGACTCGATAATCACACACTCCTCACCTCTTGCCTGGAGCCAGGTAATAATGCTTGCCTCCAGTCTCTCCCCTTTCTTGTCTATCCTCCATTAGGTGACTCCTGCTCATCAACGGTTTATGATGTACTATTCCACAGCCATAGACCCTTACCTTCGCAATGTTTCTTAAGCTATAGTAATTATTCCATTATATTCATTCACCATAATTTGTTTAGCTCTGCCTAATCCTTAAGCGGGCAGCTGAATGGCTCGGTGAATAGGGTACTGGGCCTGGAGTCAGGAAGACCTGAGCTCAAATCTGGCCTCAGACACTTACTAGCTATGTGACCCTGGGCAAGCCCCTTAACCTATATTTGCCAAGGAGGCAGCTAGGTAGCTCAGTGGACAGAGTACTGGGCCAGGGGTCA